TGTATGGATATGCCACTTTTATTTATCCATTCATTTGTCAGTTGATCAACATTTCCACATTTCTTTTTTTTTTTTTTTTGGTGGCTGGCTGGTAACAGGGATCCAACCCTGGACTTTGGTATTGTCAACACCATGCTCTAACCAGTTGAGCTATCTGGCCAGCCCACCTCACATTTCATTTTTTATTTAAATCACTTTTTAAGATTTGGGAAAATCAGGTCATTTTTTTCCACTATGGCTTAAACATGTCCAGATTTATTTTTCCTAGCAATCTCTAAAGCAGTAATATCCAAACTTCTTTCTGTAGGTGACTTTAACCAGCAAAATTTCTGTAGACCACATATCACTTCCACTGTTACCACTATAAAAACACCACCAAAGTGAATAAGAATGTTATTACTATGATGAGGTCTCAGTGGCATCCTACTTAATTTTCTAATATCATCAATGAATGACTAATTAATGCCAGAGTCTGCATGAACAATGCTCTGTTATAAGTAGAATCACTCTGAGAGGCCAAGCCTGGGACTACATGGAACTGCCTCCCGGGCTCCTTGCATTGAAGACTGTGCTGGCTTCAGGCTGGTGTTTGCAGACTGTCTTTGTTGCATTCCCAAAATGGCAATGGAGGAAAGAGAGCAGACAGGCTGGCATGGTGGGACTCTAAAGGAGCTGCCAGGTCCCCCTGAGGCCTCCTCTCCCCTCTAGCGTAGCTGGATTCCCCCCTCCCTCCTTCAGGTACCCCACAGGTCCTCAGCCTGTTCCTGTGAGAACTCTCAGGGAAAGATCTGATATGGGCCACTTCCTCCTTTCTACATGTGGGGAAACTCTGTATGTGTGTTTTTAAATCATAACCCTTTTTCAGAGAGTTATTAGTTTTGTAATCAATGATTTGACATCTTAGTCCTTTAAGCCCCTTAAAAAAAGAAAAATATTGTATTTAGCTGGAACTTTAAGACTTAGTGGGTAAACTTACAGAAACTGTAAAATAGCATATGACTTAAATCCAGCAATGTCAATGTGGAATAATTAAGTTTTCTGTGGGCTCTTGAGACCAACTAGAAGCATCTCACTATGAGATTGCTCTCTCTCGCTCTCTCGCTCTCTCCCTTATTCAAAGAGGTGATTAGGAGTAAGAGATTCTCTCTGCACTGGCTGGACGAGACAGTACACAGCCCTCCTAACAGATTAAAAACAGAAAGACTCTCCCACCAGCTTCTTAACCTCACCTGAGCCCTCCAGTCAATGTGATGTCAATGGCCAAAGAGAATCTGTGAGTCAAGAAAAGATGTCACAGTATTCACTTTAACAAGAAGAAAAATGGGGTTAAATTATGGACTTGACTGATAAACATAATCAGCTTAGATGTTAGAATTTTTAAAATATTTTTATTCAAGTTTTAAAACTTATGGAAATACTCAAACATACAAAAATTATATGAACTCTCATATGCCTGTCATCTAGCTTTAAAATTTTGTATAATATTTTATGTCTAGTTAAAATTATCAGTAATAATTAAGCCCATCTGTTGCACAACAAGTTCTATTTTTATGGAAAATAGTTGATTGTGTGATTACTAGTCATTCATTCAATATCCCTTTTGGAAAACCATCTGGATCACAAGGCCAAATTGCCTAGGAAGAAATAAAGAACATTACATTATGTAAAAACCATCTGAGGCCTTTGGTTTACCATATTTAAATGCAGATTCTAGACCAGCCCTCAGACAATTGGAGAGGTACCCAAGAATCTACATGTCTAATAGGGTCCCCAAGTTGACTGGAACAGGTCCCCAGTGTACCACACTTTGGGAAACAGCTCCATTTTGCAATCCCAGACCTATAAAGTGATAGTGAGGTTTGTCATGGTAATTTAAATCACAGAGTACTCCCAACTAGCAAATTAGGCTAGACTTGTCACCTACATAATGATTTTCTAATCAGCAGAGGCAAAAAAGGAAAGGTCAAATTTTTATGGGAGTAGAACCGGCCTGTGGCTCACTTGGGAGAGTGTGGTGCTGATAACACCAAGGCCACGGGTTCAGATCCCTATATAAGGATGGCTAGTTAGCTCACTTCGGAGAGCGTGGTGCTGACAACACCATGTCAAGGGTTAAGATCCCCTTACCAGTCATCTTTTAAAAAAAAAAAATTTTTATGGGAGCAGCATTTTCCAAGCTTTTGTGAATTCAGAAATGCTGGTAGACTGATTGCTCATTGTGCAGAGAGGTTTGATCTCCCCTCAGGTCCAGCCTTTGAAGCCCACTTGGACTTGCTTTTCAGAATATGACATCAGCTATTTCTCTAGGGAGTGGGTTTTTTTGTCTTTTTTTTTTTTTCGTGACCGGTAACGGGATCGCAACCCTCAGTGTCGCGCCCATACCGCGACCGGCAACGGGATCGCAACCCTCGGTGTCGTGCCCGCACCGCGCTCAAGCAGTGAGAGGGCCGGTCTCTATATGGGATCCAAACCCTTGGCGGGAGCGCCACAGCGCTCCCAAGCGCTACACTCTACCGAGTGCGCCACCGGCCCAGCCCAGGAGTGGAGTTTTAGTACTGGAAGTTATTACTACCTGTTGGGAAGTGAGTTCACTTAAGTACCATGTTATTTAAGTGCTTCTGTGATCTTTAACCTCGAAGTCCACGCATGGTTCTCTGTGCATTAGACATAGTGGGCTTTGTTCGTTTATGAAAAGCTATGCTTCCTGAGAAGTATGGGGAGACTGTTCCATTGTGGGGAGAGCCAAGTTATGGGGCTGATCACGACCCTGGCATGGTCCTGGTGCTCACCCTAAAGGATCATCTTTGAGTCCCCCAGAGCATCCTGCACTTGGTCTGGCACCTAGTCATAGTGCCAGTGAGAGAGGACAGCAGCTTAAGAGAAAGAGGGTGGGGAGAGAGTTGCTGGCTCACAGGGAGCAAGGCTGGATTGTTGTGGGTCTGGTCTGTGTGGAGGCATGTGGAGGGCGGGGGTGGGGCAGGGAGTGGCTGCTCTCCTTGATGGCCGCTGGGGCCCTCTGCCAGATGCAGGACAGAAGAGCAGTGTCTGTGGGCCCAACCAGATGGAGAGGCTCCAGAAGCTTTCAAATTCACAAAGCGTTATGAGAGGGACAATGAGTTCCTTCCTGTCCCTGAAAGGCCTTTCAGGGCTCTCCTCCATAATGGGATGGGCGAGCCCTAGGGCCTGGCTTTAGAGAACTGGGATTGGTACAACACAGATCTCCCCTTAACACCTACGGTGCTGAGCTGCTGGGGAGGGGGACAGCTGAGCTCTGTGGGTGGCCAGAGCTCCAGCCCCTCCTCGGACACACACAGCTGGCAGACTGCTCTGTTCCCTCCTTGGGTTTCCAGCTCATGGCTCCTTTGCCGTCTGTTTTTTAACTTGTTGCCGGTGTTCACTCTCCCTTTTCTTTTTCTCTCTGGCCTCCTCTCCTTGTTGCCAAGAGTTGTATGCATGCCTTGAGGCCCAGCCCTTTGATTTCTTGTGGTGGGGGAGGGGGAGAGAGGATGCCCAGGCCAGGACACTGGTAAAGGGGGTAGGAATCTTGGAAGCTTGAAGAGTTGGGAGAGGGATTCCCTGGAAGTTCCATAAAAGAGAAAGTGTATCCTCAGTATCTCAATACTCCTGGAACTCTAGTCAAGGAGGTGGCTCCTCTCCATAGGAGGGGCCAGTTATTCAGTGTTCAGGCTTCACAGAAGAATTGCCTGGCCCATCCTGGTGGCATTCTCTGATGGCTCTCATCTTCGTAGCCACCTCCACCTGAGCCATGTTCATTTATGCTCGCGTTCATTTATGCTGTTTGTCTTGGTTGGTTTTGTGTTGCTATAACTGAGTATCTGAGACTTGGTAACGTACAAACTAAAGGAATTTATTTCTTACAGTTCTGGAGACTGAAAAGTCCAAGGTTGAGGGGGTGCATCTGGTGAGGGCCTTTTTGCTGGTGGGAACTCTCTGCAAAGTCCCGAGGCAGCAAAGGCATCCCGTGGAGATGGGCCCTAGTGTGCTAGCTCATGTCTCTCTCCCTCTTCTTATATAGCCCCTAGTCCCATTTCCCCTAACCCTCTGGTCCATTAACTCATTAATCCACTAATCCATGAATGTATTAATTCAGTTATAAGGACAGAACCTTCATCACCCAATTACCTCTTAAAGGCCCCACCTCTTAATACTGCCACATTGGAAATTAAGTTTAATGTGAGTTTGGAAGGGAGAAACATTCAAACCATAGCACTCCTTTTCCCACAGAGTTCTGTAGGAACTTGCTTTTGAAATAGTAAATTTTAATCAGTTAAGTTTTAATCAGCTATTTGGATGGCAGACACTGGAGTATTATAAAACTGCTACCGCTGAGCTGAGGCAGTGTCTTTGGTATCCACACGGTCCTCCTGATTTTTCAGGTTTGAGGAGCTCAGTGGGATTCCTGGGTTTGCTGAGCCCATCTCTTAGTTTTCCTTAGACCAGACAGAAGACCTGGTGACCAGGCATGTCCTCTCCCTGGGTTTGGAGCCGCTCTTTGCAGACAAGGCCAGTGTGGGTTTACACCCACCATCAGGGCCAGCAGAAGAGTAGAGTACCCCTGTGGAGATATTTCCATGTTGGTGTGTGGTGTATTTTTTGTTTCAAATAAAGGAACAGCTGCTCTCTTCTTTGGGGACTGTTAGCTCATCACAGTTGTTCTTAGAGAACCTAAAAAGTTGTGTTGTTATTTGTTTTTCTTTGTAAGGGTATATGTTTTCTTAAAATGTTTGGTGATCTTAGCTAAAAGATTTACATGAAGAGGTTGGCATGGGGTCAGAATCTAGGTGGATCTCGGGACTGTGCCCTTGCCCCACCTCCTGGGCCAGGGATTCTGAACGGTGTGTTCCTAACACCCCACTCCTAGGTGGAATCTGTCAGAGGTAAATAGAGTTGCTTCCCTTGGAAGGAGAGCTTGCTGTCATGGCCCACTGAGTGTGCATCCCTGTTCCCCCAGGCCACCTGGAGCTCCTCTCCGTGCTAACATGATGACAGTGTGCAGGCCGGCCGAGGGCAGCTGTAGCCAGACTGAAAACCTGAGCGACAAATTGGCTGACAAGTAAGAACTTCTCTCCACTGAGAGTGTAGACGGTTGGCCCAGCTTCTTAGTCTCCTTCCTTTCTCTCCCATCTTTTCCTTCTCACTAATCCTACTTCCTTGAACTAAGGAGGTAGGTGTTCTTTTCCAGGTCATTCTGATGAGCCCCTGTAAATCGTCTCCATGTGCTGTACTCATTTAAGACTTGAGACCAAAGGGGTCAAGAAAAGGTCTGACTAGTGCCCAGTGTGTTGAGAGGACAATACCAGGGTGACTTCAGGCTGTGTCCCCATTATGCGTCCAGTCCAGGCTTTGTTTCTCTAGCTCTTAGTATGTGCAGGGATTTTAATGATCTCTTAGCTCTAAATCTTTGCAGTTACCTCGATCCACATAATCAGCTTTCCCCTTCTTATACTAGCTTGGTTGTTTCCTTCTCCCCAGATGGATGGAGCCTTTCCTCTGATACCCTCTCACATTCTGCAAAGCAGTTGGCAATCACTGAGCTGTTCACAGCTCTGTACCCCAGGCTGGAGCCCCTCCTGGGGTGGTGGAATCCTGGAAACAGGAACTCGAGACGCTCTTGGGCACAGCAACCCCCCACTCTGTCCTTGGGGACACTTAAATGGTTTCATCATCCTTGCCTCTCTTGCTCGAGCTCTGTAAATACAGTGTTGACTCCAGCAAGCCATCCTTTGTCCCTCTTCAGTGCTTATAGGGCCTCAGTGACTGTGAAGTCCTCCAGGTGTTTGGGATGTTAGACAATAATTCTAATAATTACAGTAACATTAGTTACCATTTATTGATATCAAGATTTATAATGTATGCTATACTCTGGGCACATTACATATGTTAACTTATCTATTCATTTATTCATTTAATAAATATTTATTGACTACCTATTATGTATCAGGCACAATGAACAAGATAAATTTGGCCTCTGTACTCATAAAGTTCCAGTCTAGAGAAGGGAGATAGGGCTCTCATTTTAAGACAAAAAAATGGAGTCAGGACTCAAGCCATAGTCCCTCTGACTCCAAAGCCCATGAATTTAAATGCTGTGCAATATTGCCCAATGATACATATGATATTAATGATTATATGTTATGTCATCAGTTGGCACAAAGTATGTGCTGAGCTGGACTGTCACGTTCTTATGTGTCTGTCCTCTCTCTTCATCTTGCTTTTGGCACTGTGAGAGCAAGGACTATAACTTCTGCTTTTTGAATCCTCAGTAAAAGAGCAACAAACTGATTCCGATTCTGACTGAAATCTGAATTCATGCTAGTGTCTTCAGTGGTTACAGGACAATTTTAATTTTTTTCTCTCTTTTGTAAGCACTCTATTATGAATCCTAATTGTTTATTTAAATAACGAATTCTGCTTTGATAATCATATTGAACATAGGAAAATGTGTTTTAAAAAAAATTGCTTTTGCACAAGTTTCTAATTTATGCTGCGCAACCAAGAACAGCAGCATAATTTATGTGCTAATGTCACACTTGAAGAAGTCTTTACCGAAACAGCCATGAATCTTTGGAATAGAAAGCTAAATAGTAATAGGATACATGAAATTGCTAATTATTCATCTGTCACTGTGAACCTTAACTGGAGTGTTCAGAATTCCTATATAAGGACTGGCCCGTGGCTCACTTGTGAGAGTGCAGTGCTGATAACACCAAGGCCATGGGTTTGGATCCCTATATAGGGATGGCTGGTTAGCTCACTTGGGAGAGCGTGGTGCTGACAACACCAAGTCAAGGGTTAAGATCCCCTTACCGGTCATATTTAAAAAAAAAAAAAAGAATTCCTATATAGTCAGGTCTGTATATTCACAAAATGAGCACCATAAGGTTGGTCCATGCATATGTGCTAATCTTAGCACATTTTTTTTTTTTTTTAAAGATGGCCGGTAAGGGGATCTTAACCCTTGACTTGGTGTTGTCAGCACCACGCTCTCTGAAGTGAGCTAACCGGCCATCCCTATATGGGATCCGAACCTGTGGCCTTGGTGTTAGCAGCACCACACTCTCCTGAGTGAGCCACGGGCTGGCCCCTAATCTTAGCACATTTTATGTCACCGTCCTCAGTCATAACCTTTGCTGATGGAAGAATGTTTTGTATTTCAAAACAGATACTCTCATTCTTATTAGACTAGCTTAAAAATGTTTTTCTTTTAGAATAATTATTAGCTTCTTTATGGCACTATCTAATCTCCTAAAATCACATTTGGAGGCATATATTCTCATGTGTATATTCTAGGCCAGAACTTTGTGCAATGGTGGAAATATTCTACTGCTCCATTTAATACAGTAACCATGAGCTACATGAGACTACTGAGTACTTGGCGTGTCACTGGTGCACCTAAGGAACTGAAGCTTTAATTTAATTGGATTTAAGTTTAAATAGCCACTGTGGCTAGTGGCTACTATATTGGGCAGTTTGAAATCTGAATCTGCCTGTTTATTCACACATGCATTCGTGCAACAGATATTTTATCCACCTCCTACTTTGCCAGGCATTGTTCCACATGTAAGGGATGTAGCAGTAGTCACAACAGGCCAAAATTACAAGACAATCCCTGCCCTCGTGGAGAGTTTGCTCTAGTAGGGCTCACATTCCAGAGTAGGTTCAGTTCAAATGCACCCAGTCATTGTGGCTCTACCTACTCAAATCAGGACAATTTATCAAGATCAGAATTAGCAAAAACTTCATGACTTGCGACGTTGTTTTAATTTTGAAATAATCATTGCAAAGAACTGCCCATGGATAATAAAAGCAGGGAAAACGTAGACTATATAATCTTTTACCTCATGAAATTACCCCTATTTTCATCAGGGAAAAAAACTAATAATAATGATAGCCACCATTTATTGTATGCTCACAACTTGCTAGATACTTTATGTGGGCTGGCTCATTAGACGTTTACAGCCATGCTGTTAGATACTTGTTATTACTATCCTCGATTTGTGGAGGAAGAAACTGAGGTTTAGAGGACTTAAACAACTTGCCCAGGGTCACACAGCTGGTCAGTGGTTGAGTTAGGACTTTCAACCCAAGTCTATTGGATTCCAAAACCTGATTGTTGCTTTCATTCTACCATGCTATCTCCCTAGGAAAAACAAAATGTGAATTTTTAAAATGATGGTTTCAGCAACTGTGGTTTGCAACTAGCATATAACATTTATATCTAAGTTCTAGCAAATCTCTATGACCAGCCAAGAACGATAAGGAAGAATCCCTTACCTGGTGTTCATCTTTCTGGTTCAGGGTCAAGGTGGAAGGTCCGAAGGCCGGGGAAGACCCTCCAAGGCAGTTGCTTCGGCTCTCCGATTCTTCCCTAGAGACTGACCAGGAGTCACCCTTCAGAAGGAGCCCACTGGAAAGCCTCAGTCACCTCATGCTGGAGTCTAGAGTGGACATGTTCAGCTCACATGGGGTTGTCAGTGGCGCAGCTGCAGACCTCGGGGCCACAGAAGCCAGCAGGGCCAGGAGGAAGCAGCTCGGCGGTGCTCAGAAGCCCCGCCCGTGCGCCCTCAGCATCAAGGACAAGATATGGGAATGGGAGGGGAAGAAGGAACTGCCGGCTCCTGCACCGGGCAGGAGGGCAGATGCGCCCGAGGATTGCCGGGCGTCCTGTGTGAGGGACAGGACGAGCGGTGGCGATGGGGTGAGGACGCAGCTGGCAGAGGCGAAGCCCGGAGCAAGGCTAGACGCAGAGTGCTTGGAGAACGGCAGGAATAAAGGGGTGGTGGATGTCGGGGGGCAGGACGCAGAGCGGAGGCGAGACCCACGCCCCCCGGCCAGGGAGCTGGAGGCCAGCGTGGGCAGAGGCTGGGAGCCACGGCTCGGCAGACAGCGCTTTCCCAGCGACAACCTCTCGGTGCTCAAGCAGGTCAAGAAGCTAGAGCAGGCTTTGAAGGACGGGCTGGCAGGGCTGGACCCCCAGTTGCCAGGGACTTGTTACTCCCCACACTGCCTGCCTGACAAGGCAGAGGAGGGGCCTGCCCTTCCTGAGAACCCCGGAGCGGGGAGTGGCTCAGAAGGCAGCCGGAGGGTCCCCCACTTGGACCTGGAAGGCAGGGAGCCCGCCCCTGAGGCTGCGGGGGAAAGGAAAGGCTCGTGCGGGAGGCCCTGGGACCAGAGCCTGGAGAGCGTGTACAGGGGCTCGGAGGGGTCCCCCCCAAAGCCCTTCATCAACCCCCTGCCAAAACCCCGGAGAACATTCAAACATGCTGGGGAAGGGGACAAGGACGGACACCCAGGCATCGGCTTCAGGAGAGAGAAGAGAAACCTGCCTCCTCTGCCCTCTCTGCCTCCCCCGCCCCTGCCCTCCTCTCCCCCGCCTTCCTCTGTGAACAGAAGACTGTGGAACGGAAGACAGAAGTCCAGTGCTGACCACAGGTAGGTGCCAGCTGGCCAGGCAGCAGCAGCAGCATGATACTGTGCTTGAGGAGTTGATGCCCCATCAAAACCAGCTTCCTCAGCCTAGTTGATTTTTCTTATTAAACTGAGGACTCTTGAAGTCAAGATTATTCATTGCTTAAGATAGTTTGTTGATTAACCTGGAAATGTGATAACTGATGCATGTGTTTTGGGTTTGTTCTCAGTCTCAAAAAACAGTATTTGCTTTTAAAAATTACCCTTTCAATATGATAAGGACCTATCGTTGGGTCAGTAACCAAGAGTTAAATCAAGAACTGTGTTAACGGACAATCTACTAACTGTTCATGCCTGGTAACAACTAGTGCTGGAATCTTTCCTGGCTCTTCTTTTCATGTTTTTTCTGGGTATGGCTTTAGAAACACATTGCCTGGTCTTCCTTGGCCCTATCACTGTCTGTGTGACCTTAAACAAGATGCTTCACCTCTCAAAGCTTCAATTTCCTCATTTATATATGTAGATGCATGTACTGTGACTATTTTATAGTATTAAAATAACATTTAAAAATGAAGCATGTTAATGCTTTAAAATAAAATCTGTGCTTTGAAAACAATTTCTTTTCTGCTTTGAAACTTAATCCCTAGTCCATTTCCATAATGGGCTAATGGTTTGATACTCACTAATCTAGAAACCAGCTTTAGAGCAAGACTCCCCAAGACAATTGTCTATGTTTTCTTTCATCACGTCTTCAACTCCTGCTTTTTCTTGGCCCACTCCAGTTGGACTTTTGCCACTCATCCTGAAGCTACTCTTGTCCAAGGCAACCAACAGCCTCTATCTTGCTAAATCCAATGGCCATTTCTCTGTTGTCTTCTTAATTGGCCTCTCTTAGTATTTGAAGGACAGCTGTTGACTTGCTCCATCTTGAAACACTGTCTTCACTCGGCTTCTAGGCCACCCACTTTCCTGCTAGTCCTGCTTCATGGCTTTACTCAGTTCCATGCTCCTCTCTTCCTACATGTCAGAATAACACCCTTTTCCTGGCCCGTCCCCACCCCAACCTGGGATCAGACCAGTGACTCCTCTCCTTCATTTACACTCACCCCCTATAAGATCTCATCCAGTACCATGGCATTCAGTGTCAAGTACATGCTTATGATCCCCAAATTTAGATCTCCACCCCCGATTCCCTCTCCCAGCTTCCAGTTTGTATAAGCCATCTCCTGCTTGGATCTCCATTCGGTTGGCTAATAGTAGGTACTTAACATGTCTAAACTTATATCCAGGCCCCATTATCTCCTCCCAAAATAATTGTCATCTTATTAAATGGCATCACCCTTCATTTAGTTGCTTAGGCCAAAAACCTAGGAGTCATCTCTGATTTCTCTCTTTTTCACATACCTCCTTCTAATTCATTAGCAAGTCCTTCTCTTCTGGTGTTAAAACTTCACCCCAAATCTGACTTCATCTCCTCCACTGCTACTTCCCCGATCATCTTGGATCCACTTCCCACCCTCAGTATATTCCTCTCTCAGCAGCCAGAGGAGTCTTCTAAAAACATAAATTAGATAACGCGTTTGGCTTCAAATACACATTTCTTATATTCTCTTCCAGGGGAAAAGAGTTTGCATATTCTAGAATTTTATATGTACGTGCATGTGTATATGTGTGTGTGTGGATAGATAGATAGATAGATAGATAGATAGATAGATAGATAGATAGATAAAACATCTTTTTGGGGGGGCGTGTTTTTTCTGGGTTTTTTGGGGGGGGCGTGGAGCAGTGATGGCTGGCCAGTATGAGAATCTCAACCCATGACCTTAGTGTGTGTTTTTTCTTTTTTACTACTAGCATATTCATTCTTACAAATCATAATATTTCTTTGTGCCTTTCGTCTGACCTATCACTTTCCAAACCCCCTCCCTCCCTCCGTCTCCGTCTCTAGTATTCTTAGGTTTGTTCTCTCCTTCTGAAAGTTCCATGTATTGTTGCGGTCTTTCCTTCCTTCCTTCCTTCCTTCCTTCCTTCCTTCCTTCCTTCCTTCCTTCCTTCCTTCCTTCCTTCCTTCCTTCCCTTCCTTCCTTCCTTCCCTCCCTCCCTCCCTCCCTCCTTCCCTCCCTAGCAGCCAGTTAATGAATAAGAACATGTGGTATTTCTGTTTCTTTGTCTCCCTTAGTGTTATAAGGTTATACTCTAACTAACTGAGCCAACCAGTCAGCTCTATATTATATCCTTTTAAAAATGAAATTATGCTGTAAGAGTATATACTGTTTTTTACTTAGTAAATCATTGAGATCTTTTAATGTTACCACCTTCCTTCTTTAACTGCCTCATTCTTTACATCATGTGGATAAACCATTTTTTATTTAGTTATCTCCTTACTGATAGACACTTAGGTTGCTGTGATAAGCAGTATATAGCCTTAGAGAGGAGTATATAGCCTAGAACCAGAGTACTTGTTCTGCTACTTCCTAGCTGTGTGACATTGGACAAGCCTCTAAATTTGTGTTTTGTCATCAGTGGTAGTAATTATAGTAATCACTTCATAGGATTATTTTGAAGATTAAAATGAGTTAATATATGTAAACATTAATTTAGAACAGAGCCTGGCATATAGTGAGTGCTCAATAAACATTAGCTGTTATATATTATTTCTCCTGAGCTGGCTGGTTAGCTCAGTTGGTTAGAGTGTAGTGCTAATAATACCAAGGTCCAGGGTTCAATACAGTACCAGCCAGCCACCAAAAAAAAAAAAACACACACACACAAAAGAACACACCCATTTATATATTTTTTCTGCTCTACTCTGTTTAATTATCATTTTGTCTGCAAAGAATTATCATGTACCTTTTTCTTTTTAATTTATACCTCCCACTACTCTTACCGCATAGCACTGGCTAACACTTTCAGAACAGTGTTAAATCATAGTGCCCGTGGCGGAGGGCGTGTTTATCTCACCACTCACTTTAATGTTAAGCCTTCTAGTGTTTTACTCTCAAGCACTCTTTTTATTTTGTTTTGTTTTGGTGTCTGGCCAGTATGGGGATGCAAACCCTTGACTGACAGTGGTGTTACAACATCGCACTCTAACCAAACTCTCAAGCACTCTTGAGATATGTTTTTATGCTATCAAGTTAGTGTCATTTGTACTTCTTTTCTTACTAAGAGTTTTAAAAATTAGGATTGGATGTTAGATTTTGTCAAAGTACTTTTTGGCAATTTTTTATGATCATGTGGTTCTTTGACCCATTAATAGTGAATTTATATCCTAATATTAACCTGTCCTTACATTTTGGGGATGAACTCCCATTTGGTCCTGGTTTATTATTCTTCTAATGTGCTTCTGAATTTTATTTGCTACTATTTTAAGATTTTTGTACTAAGTGAGACTGTTCTGTACTTGGCTTTTATTGTACTATCTTAAAGCTTTGGTATGTTATGTGAGATCTGTAGAAGAATTTAGAGTCTTCCTTCTTCATACTCTGAGAAAGTTTTAATCCATCTCCAGTTGTAAGTGCTTTTCCACACCAGTGCCAAAGCCCAGGTCTCTGAATGCTCTCATGACTTTTCTGCTCCTGTCCCAATGCTTTCCAACAGCAGTCCTTCCACACCCCTTCTGGGCTGTTTCTCCAAAAACGCCCCACTCTCCCAGGGGCAGGCTGGCTCTGAGAAATTGGAGGCTTCCATCTGTGTCATCATTGTGCAGAAAGATCAACCTGGTGAACAGTTATTGCTGTTATCTTTTCTCTTTAGCTACCATCTGCTCTTTTCAGTCTTCCAGCATTTTCTTTATAACCACTAATGTTACTTAATTCCAGTCCAAAGGTGAAATTTTTCTTAGCCAGTTTGAATATGGTTGCATCAGCTGCGTTTTAAGAATTTTGGCTTTGGGTTTTTCATTTTGTTTAAAATAGTACAATGGAAGAGATTAGGGCAAGATGTTCTCTTTCTACTCTTCAAAAATAAAGTATACACTTTATTATGGTCCTATCTCCTAAAAAAAAAAAAGGCTCGACCATGATTTTGGCAGACTTACCGACCCTCTCTGAGGCAGGAAAGCCAAGCCAAGGTTGAATAAAGAAATGATTAAGGATTTTGAGGTTATGAGGGTTTCAAGTTACGTGGCCAGGCTGTGTGCTTTAGAGAACATATTCAGCTTATTTTCATAGGCCAATTAGTCCACCTTGTCAAGAGCCAAACCAGTGAATTCAGATCCACAGGTTAAGAAAATTTATTTTTTTCTTTTCTTTCTCTCTTCCTATTTTTCCCTCCCCTTTTTTTCCTTTTCTGTCCCCTTCCTTTCTCCCTCTCTCTTTCTTCCTTTTCTGCTCCCTTCTTTCTTCATTTCTCTAAAGCCCCAGGAAATTAAATGCAAGGACTTATGCCTTCAATCCTAAAATGGAAAATGAGAAACCCTCAAATGTCAGGAAATTCCAAAGATAAGGTTCCTACAGTAACATTAACTTGGTTATGTATGTTTTATGGCATACATTTAATAACTTTGGCAGGATTGCCTTAAGGCCGACGTTTAACAAGAAAAGTTATTATTTTTAAAGTATAAGCAGCATCCTGAATTTACATGTATCTACATACTCAAAATGTTTTAACTTGAATTCAGATTTTTAAGTTTTAGTTTAATTTGATCATGCGACAGAGTTTTTAGCTCTTTATGAAACCAAATAACTACGTTGTCCAAAATCTCAACTTTTCAACTGATTGTTTTGGCATCATACGGATTCAACCTTTCCTTGGGGCTTTGTTTAGTGTAAGACTTTCAGAACTTTTAGAGGACATGAAACCTCAGTCATTCTATGACTGCCAAATCATACTGCTATTGATTCCATAATTTGCATCTTCTGTAGCACTGACAGGGATCTCCACAGCTCTCTGGCTAGGCAGTTAACCTACCAGGCACACTGTGGTCTGTCTCTGTCACTATGAGTCTGTCTTGGTCAACATGATATCCATGAGGCAACTGTGAATTACTGTGTCTAAAAATGAAATGTTTGAAATCTCCAAAG